GTGCGTTTTGTGGGAGAGGACGGAGAATAGGAGTGTAAAGAGAAGGTATTTTCTTAGAAGGATGAACTTTTTTTTTTTTGGTTATGTATTAAAATTTAGGGTTAATTATAATTTATCCCCTCAAATAATACCTCTTATGGTAATTAGCTCCCTATAATTTTAAATGAAGACTAAATTATGGAACATGCACATGCATTATTTATCATATTTTTTTTTTTGAGATATAAATTCTATTCCTAAAAAATAAGAAAACAAAAAAATTAATAAAAAAATACATCTGTTCAGTCAAATAATAACATATTGTGTTTGTTTTCACCTCCACTTAACACTAACGCATGCAAGCACATGCACACTCTTTTCGTAGATAATAGTGTCTTTTTAACAAAGTACAGGTCACATTAAATTTTTATATTTATCTTACATAATTTTTTATGGACTAAAATTAACCATTGAATAATTACAAAATATTCAAACTTAAAAGCAGTTATTTGTTAAAATTAAAATATAAAAGGGTGAATGACAAACTACCCAATGTTAAAGGGATTTTTTTTAATTAACCCTAAAATTTATAATTATATGGGTGATTAATTGCAACAAAAAATAAATTATAATATTTTTTGGGTCATGTTATAATTTTTAAAGATAAAATTACGAATTTTGAGAGTTAAGTTATATTTTTAGGGTGTTAAGAATTGTTCCTAAATTAAGATTGATCGAATCGAACTACAATTTTTGATTTAGTTTAATATTAATTTTAAATACCCTAAAAAATAATAACTTAACCCTAAAAATTATAAATAGACCTCAAAAATTAATAATTTGCTATTACTTTTGATACCGTGGACTTATCATATCTTAGTCTTGTGATGGTAAGTGACGTTGCTCTTTACTTTTGTTTTATTTAATGAGAGGGTGAAGCTGACTTCCACGCAAGTCTTAGTTATTAATATTTCTAATATTATATAATAAAGTAATTTATAATTCAAATTTTAAAAGATAAATAAAATAATTTTTGCTATTTACGGTTGAGATCGTTTTAAAGTTTACTTTAAAGTTAATCTAACGACTAATATTAACACCTTAAATTTAATAAGAAAAATAAGTCTCTAAGAATGTGTTTGGAGTGAGTTAAAAGTATTTATAGAAATTATTTCTCATAAGTACTTTAAAAAAATAATGTTTGAAACAGTTCCACTATTATCTCTACCATCACTATCACCACCATCGTCGTCACCCCCACTATAATCGGCGCTTAAATTCATTTATCTCTCTTCTATATTTGTGATTTGATTTTGAATATGAATATAAATATATTTTTTATTACTCTGCGCCTTCATGCACAAACATTAATTAATAATTGGATATTTTAAAATCGTAAATAAGGGAGTCGAATTCTCCCCTACGCTAATAGATTCTCTTAGATTTATTTATAAATAAAGGGCATCTATTACGTATTGATGAAGAACTCTTTAGTTTCACAATGAGTGACTCGTAATTAAGGAATCTAGTGTGGAAGGGTGTTATCAATTAACACCCCCAACAAGGAGATGACTTCACCTCGGAGGAAATGTGGTCGGACATGAAAACAAGAACATGTTATTCGCCACTTGCCTATTTTTTTTATTTATTATTAAAAAATTATATCACGTAGAAATGACTCAAGATAATTTGAAATCTAAAATAAATATATTAAATGAATTTTTTTTTTTAGTATTATTTTTAAAAAAATAATTTATTTTTAATTTTTTATATGAGAGGGAGACAGAAAAGTGATGTGCTAATGTTGCCAACAAAGATGTTTTGACTTTTGTTTTTATTTTTTACCACCGAGAGAGAGAGTGTGTTTAATTTTAATTTTTATTTATGTTTTTTTAACCAGAGAGAGAGAGAATGAGAGTAAATATGAGTTGGCTTTGAAATATTTTTTTTTAATTTCTAAGTTTTTAATATTATGAATTGAATCATAGACCCAAATTATTGCAATAAAAATTTTGAATGTACTTAATTTTTTAGGGTCATTTTTTAGGGATTAAAATTTAATGGTTTTAATTTTTTTTGTGAGTTAGTAATGTACCTAAAATTATGGGACCTTTTAAAAATTTAAGGCCCGATGGTGTCATGGAAATAGTAATCCAAGCCCGATTAATGAATTACTACTTGGATTAGTGAGTTTGATCAAATGCGTGATCGATTTGTAAATGATGGAAAGTTCAAAACGTAAGTGGTTCACCTTTATCAAAAGATCAAGACTACCTCCACTGTAATAGAATTTTTTGCTCATTAAGATTGTGTATTAGAATAAGGTGAGTATACTGGGATCGTTGGCACTGAACTTTTACAGGTGCTTAACCTTTGTTTGTTGTGTATGTAGGGCAGAGGAATATCTTGGAGAGAGAGATTTCGTAGGTTTACACTGTTCTATTTATATTAATACTTATTAGGGTTTTTGGTGACTCCTTCTACCTTTTTATTGATCATGTGGGAACCTTCCGTCCTTGTCCTAAAAAAGCCTCTGTTAGTCGATGTTACTATGTCCACGATCTCTAGATTGTTACGCGCCACCATCCTCTCCGTTCGGGAGGGTGTACCTGCCATATGTTTCAAAGATGGTCTCCTTGTCTTTTGGATGTGTGGCCTGACGGGATACTTTGCGAAGATTCGACCTCTCTTTCTTGAACAGTCCTTCGACTGGTACTAAATTGGACAAGGACTTAACTACTGGTCCATTGAACTTTATCCTTTTGGCTCTTGATTTATCAGAGGCACCTCTTTGGGCCAATAAACCCTGCCTTTGGCTTTTCAAGGTGTATTGGGGTCAAAGATCGAGGTGGCCCATTTCTAAAATTTCACTCTTATGAGGACCTAAAATTCATGTTTTTTTTTTCATATTGTTGAACCAGACCTGGAACTACGTGACAGTATTGACGTGATATAATTGTTAAAAAATATTATTTGGACTTAAAATGTATACTTGATAATCACATCTATTAAATAAATAATGAATTATAATAAATAATAATATCACATGACGGTGATGATATAGTGTCACCGTTATACTCAATATTTACTCGATAATCAGGGCATGTTTTGATTACCAACGTGGTTGGTGTTTGCCAACTCCAGCTCCAAGGGCATTATCGTAACTTAAGTGTAATTTGAATTTGGGTGAGCAATAGGAGATATGGGCAAGTTTAGTGAACAGCCTCAGTAACCGTTTTAACTGCCATTTCCATAAAACCAAAAAAGGGAAGAAAAAAAAACTATTAAAAACATTGGCATAACCAGAGTAAAATATTGGGTGCAACGGCTATGAACAATATTACATGATTTTAAAATATGTATTTGATAATCACAAGTTGATAGTTATTTTTAGATATTGGGTGGTTACCAAATGACATGGAGCGTTGACTACTATAAATAATATGCAAGATTCATCTATTTACTTGTTATGTTCTTATTGATCGGTGATATCACGTGACGATAATAACGTGATGCTATCGTTACATCTAATATTTTCTCCGATCGCATCGGAGAATTCTTCATTGAAATAATATCAAAGACTAAGAAATTAAATAAATATTTGACCAGGAAAAAACATCAAGGGTTCGAAAATTATCCTGAAGATAGAACTGTTCACTTGCATCTTCTATATCATATTACGGCAACTATGATTGGTAACATAATACAACCGAACAACAAACTTCATCTTCTTTAATGTGAAACAAGTAAAAATTTCTTCCACACGAGGNATCAGAGGCACCTCTTTGGGCCAATAAACCCTGCCTTTGGCTTTTCAAGGTGTATTGGGGTCAAAGATCGAGGTGGCCCATTTCTAAAATTTCACTCTTATGAGGACCTAAAATTCATGTTTTTTTTTTCATATTGTTGAACCAGACCTGGAACTACGTGACAGTATTGACGTGATATAATTGTTAAAAAATATTATTTGGACTTAAAATGTATACTTGATAATCACATCTATTAAATAAATAATGAATTATAATAAATAATAATATCACATGACGGTGATGATATAGTGTCACCGTTATACTCAATATTTACTCGATAATCAGGGCATGTTTTGATTACCAACGTGGTTGGTGTTTGCCAACTCCAGCTCCAAGGGCATTATCGTAACTTAAGTGTAATTTGAATTTGGGTGAGCAATAGGAGATATGGGCAAGTTTAGTGAACAGCCTCAGTAACCGTTTTAACTGCCATTTCCATAAAACCAAAAAAGGGAAGAAAAAAAAACTATTAAAAACATTGGCATAACCAGAGTAAAATATTGGGTGCAACGGCTATGAACAATATTACATGATTTTAAAATATGTATTTGATAATCACAAGTTGATAGTTATTTTTAGATATTGGGTGGTTACCAAATGACATGGAGCGTTGACTACTATAAATAATATGCAAGATTCATCTATTTACTTGTTATGTTCTTATTGATCGGTGATATCACGTGACGATAATAACGTGATGCTATCGTTACATCTAATATTTTCTCCGATCGCATCGGAGAATTCTTCATTGAAATAATATCAAAGACTAAGAAATTAAATAAATATTTGACCAGGAAAAAACATCAAGGGTTCGAAAATTATCCTGAAGATAGAACTGTTCACTTGCATCTTCTATATCATATTACGGCAACTATGATTGGTAACATAATACAACCGAACAACAAACTTCATCTTCTTTAATGTGAAACAAGTAAAAATTTCTTCCACACGAGGTGATTGATGTTTGTAGAGATCACACCAGAACTCTCTGCTAATCAACTCAACCGTTAAGTCCCATCCCAAGTGATACAAATTCAAATTTGGAAATCAATCTCTCCAAAAAGAAATAAGACTAAAAAAACTGGATTATGGAACAAAATGCTGTTAACTACCAATCAGTTCAAGGCACGATGACAACGAAAAATAATCGCAACATACAAAGGATGCAAGATAGAAGAAACTTGAAGAGAAGCATCTATATTCCAAGATTAAGCTAAACTACAATTCAAATAACATGCAAAACCACTCAGTTAAGAGATAAATGACGTTACCAAAACATCGGGGTTTGAATTGCCTTAAATTAAAATACAAAAATGGGCCAATCTGGATCTCTATTCTAAATAACTAGAATCCATGTGTAATAACTATGACAACAAAAACCCAAAAGGGTTGATCAACTTATAAATGTTTAATCGATGCAAATTGTTAGTAGGTGACTGCGTGCATATGAGGTTTACGTTGCAAACGCCCCCAAAAAAATGCAGTTAGAACGATTTCCCATTACAAAACGTATGAAAAGAAGAAGTAGAAAAAGCGAAAAGAAATGGCGTTCATTATTGCTCAGCTTCAAACACTAACTTTAAATCACTGCAAGGTGTAAATGGATGCTGCCCTCCCATGGAAACTGAAAACTTCAAGCAGAGCAACCCTCTCACAGAACTTTTGGTTCAGTTACATACTAGCTATTTACAGTCTCCCACTTTCCAAGAGAGAGAGGTTCTTCATCTTCTAGCAAACCTGCTACGTCTGATTCCTGTCTTGGGCGTTTTATAAGGCGCCTGCTGCCCTTCATCTTCACTGGTGTCATCAGACCTCCATCTGGGTCCACCATCTGTATCTATGGCCTCAACGGGTAAACCATTCTTTTCATGGCTGATGATTCGAAAAGGAGAAAATGAAATAAGTCACACATAGATAAAACCAATTTTCTTTATCAGTGATTAACTCCACGAGCGGTAAAAAAAGAAAAACTAAAAGGGCTGGGTGCCTGAAGAAAGGGAATGTGAACTTTACCTCCAAGAGCTGTCCATTAAACCATTCAAAGGAGCAACATTCCAAGGTATATCGGCTCTATCGGATGAGGCACGTTTTCCAGACATATTCCCATACGAGTCTCGAGCAAAATCTTTTAACATATCCCGGTTGCTACTGAGTGATGATATGCTATTAGCTGCAATCGTGAGGGGATATGGACAAGTACTTTGAAACTGTTGAATGAACCCATTATGTTTTTTTACTGAAGGGACTTTTTTAAGTTGATCATCTTCGAGATTGCTGTTCTGAGGCACTCTTGATGAATTTCTGTTGAATTCTTTCAGTGTTATGACAGTGGTAGGACTAACCCGACGAATTACAGAAGTTGAGATGCTATCAAAGTTGATGTTTTCTCTAAAGCTGCTTTGAGTCTTCAGTCCTTTTTCTGTATTGTTCAAGGCATTTGCATGAGGAAGGGATGGAGAGCCATAATTCCCCACTTCCCCATTGACAGATCCACCTAATTTTGATGGAATTTCAAGAACTGATGGTTCAAATATAGGAACATCATTGTCCACATGATTAACAAAGGATGACTCAAAGGACGAAGGGACCAATAAACTAGGCAAAATTGGTCCTTGCACTATTGGAAGATCTGATTTCACTGGAACATCAACTGCATCACCAGGAGAAAAGCCAACTTCAAGCAACTTTCCAGCCTTTAGTTGTTGCTGCTGGATTTCTGGTAGCAACTCTATGCTTTTATCCTGCAGAAGCATGCACATTGGTTCAGAAAATATAATTAACTTTTTCCCCATGCATTATTAGTTACCATCTATTTAAACCACAACCAACTTGTGGGCTAATATCCCATGTACGATGCTTGTCTTGTATTTCTAAAATGATATGCTTCCCCCACCCCCCCCTCCTTCTCTTCTTTCTCCACACACACCCGCCCCCAAAAAAAAATGAGGAAAGGTTCTACTTCATTTTCAGGTTCTTGACTTTCCAATGGAGTTCTTACATATGAAACGAAACATCATAAAAAGGCCAAAAGAAAAATGTGGTAAAATGAACTTGCCTAAGATTCAGCATGCCCCACTTGGGTAAATCCCAACAGAAAGGAAAAGGGGAAATGAAAACCCACATAAGTAAGAGGCTCTGTAGCACCACCAATAGTTATGAAAGACTATCAAAATCAGGACATCGCCATTGGAGGATCATTATTGCCCCCACTATAAAACTTTCACTCCACGGAGAATTTGGAGAATGTTGCAGTTCAGTTGCTATAGGGAATAACTAGATGAGTTTATGCTTATAGAAGCCAATTGCAACCATGAATTCTACATTTTCTGAAGAAACCACCCTAGTTAGAGCAAAAGATAGCAAAATCCATAAATCTCCTTGCCATGCCTACATATTTTTCCCTGCTCACCGAACTCGAGTAATATGACTCAACTCATCAAGCAGATCTCTTTTTCTAAGCAAAAATGCAATAGAAATTTTAAATGGCTNCAACCAACTTGTGGGCTAATATCCCATGTACGATGCTTGTCTTGTATTTCTAAAATGATATGCTTCCCCCACCCCCCCCTCCTTCTCTTCTTTCTCCACACACACCCGCCCCCAAAAAAAAATGAGGAAAGGTTCTACTTCATTTTCAGGTTCTTGACTTTCCAATGGAGTTCTTACATATGAAACGAAACATCATAAATAGGCCAAAAGAAAAATGTGGTAAAATGAACTTGCCTAAGATTCAGCATGCCCCACTTGGGTAAATCCCAACAGAAAGGAAAAGGGGAAATGAAAACCCACATAAGTAAGAGGCTCTGTAGCACCACCAATAGTTATGAAAGACTATCAAAATCAGGACATCGCCATTGGAGGATCATTATTGCCCCCACTATAAAACTTTCACTCCACGGAGAATTTGGAGAATGTTGCAGTTCAGTTGCTATAGGGAATAACTAGATGAGTTTATGCTTATAGAAGCCAATTGCAACCATGAATTCTACATTTTCTGAAGAAACCACCCTAGTTAGAGCAAAAGATAGCAAAATCCATAAATCTCCTTGCCATGCCTACATATTTTTCCCTGCTCACCGAACTCGAATAATATGACTCAACTCATCAAGCAGATCTCTTTTTCTAAGCAAAAATGCAATAGAAATTTTAAATGGCTTACAAACTAAGAACCCATAATTTTCCTTTTCTCATCAGATGTCTGAATGAGCAGCAAGCAGCTTAAAACAAACCACTGGCAAGGCTCTATGATGCCTTAAATCATGTTGATGAATAAGACAAAGAAAAGAATCATGAAATGGAATTCACTTACAACCAATTCGGCTCTCCAATGACTTGCCGATCTCATTCTAAACAAGACTTCTTCACTGACTGAATTCCTTGAAACAAAGTCTTGCTCTACACTCTGAAGTTTACTATCAACTTGGTATGCCTCTATGTAACGGCAGCGCTGAAAAGCAGAGGCAGGGTAATTAGCCGACTTGTCAGGCAACCCAGTCTTACAGAATATGTCGTACGAACTGTGAAAAGCTAGTCTGACATGCCACATCTGTCTCTTCCAGCCAAATATACTCAGGAAACTAACACAAATATACAGACCTCCACGTAGGCCCGCCAACATAGCAAATAAAAAAAGTAGATAACTATGCATCAACAGCAAAACATTTAAAAGACATACATAGATCACCAAGTGGAAAAAGAATATTACAGTGTATTATAGGTTAATATGAACAACTCCTCTTCCGGTTTCAAAACAAATCATGATCCATTCTTCAAGCCTTTCAGATTCCAGGTACGATCATATGTAATTGAATCCCAGGTCAACAATAGTGGCCAACTTGATGAATTGCTTAACAGCAAGATAGGAACTGACAGCAGGAAAAATGAAAAAGCTCACATACGACCAAAATTTAGCAGTCATTTCACTTGCCTATGCTTCAACATGAGCTACAGGAAAAAGCGGCATAAAATTGCATATCTCATGTCATGAAAGCAGACAGACTACACTAATAATGATAGTGCATAAGAAAGAGCTAGCATGTATAATCAGTTTCAGCATCATAAACAAAACCAATCTAGTAGCTTCAACTTCTTGAAAACATAAAAGATACCTGTAGATAGAATACCACAAGAAGACTTCCAATACTTGTCGAAGGGTATTCCACAGCAAAATCTAATAGGCACTTACGGAGAGGTTTCTCCTCATTGGAGTTCCACGGAAATTCTATCATTCGATCTACCAAGTTCCTCCGGATACAGAGACAACAAATTTCTGCAACTAATACCTCCACCCAGTTTGTCCAAGACCGGCACTCATCTGAAGCATTCCAACCAGATTCATGCCTCAACTTCTGTTCCTTGGCTTTTACGCAGATCATTCTCTGGTACATAAATGCTTCAGTCAGAAGTCCACACTCCACTCTCACCCGAACAGCAGTGACAGCCTCACCAAGTGAAACCAACTCTGCTCCACCGTCACGGCCTGACCACCGTAGAACCATAAGGGCTGCATCAGGATTACGCCTTTCCAAAAGAACTTCTGCAACCTTGGGATGAGTTGTTTGACCTGAAATTTCTGGAATAAGGCGGCAGGCTTCCTAAGCCATGTAACCCATGCAACAGGTGAAGAACAATTAACATACAGTATGATATAAGGTGCATAAGCCAAATTACTCAAAAATTGCCTTTTAAGAAAAAAAAAAGTCACACAAGGTTCAAACCAGACCAGATTAGAACCAGACCAGGGGTCACACAAGGTTCAAACACTCCACCAGGAAAAAAATATGTCCCATGCACATTAGAACCAGACCAGAGTCAGATTTATCCCCCCATACCCTGTTGAAGAAAGAAGCAAAAAAATTCCAAAAGGTTGTCCAAGTCCATAATCCCCATGGACCAATGTCCTAAAGGTACAATTCAGCTTTCGAAACAAAAATTGACTACCTAAGTGATATTGGTGAATGTAAGTAAACAAAGACTTGTGCACCAGATCAAATACATTTCACTCTGGAAGATACAATAAGAGGCCAACAAGTTTGACATCTAAAACAGGCAAAATGGTTGCCAAGGGATCCGGTGTGTCTTCGTACACTAGATTTGGCAGCTGCAGTGCATATGCAAATAAAACAAGTAGAGCCATTTTCTGCCCCAAAAATAACAAAGAACAAATGAAAAACAAAAAGGGATGAATATCAGAGTAACTTATCCTCCAAATCACTGCTTTCTAAATCAAATCTTGGATCACACAATGCCCAAACCTGATTGTGGATGGGAAGCAAAAACTAAAAAATCCTCCTAGAACTATCAAAATTTTTAGTTTTATGATATATTTAGCAACTTAACAGAAACCCACAAACATCTGTAGAAAAAAAGTTACCTGCAAAGCTTCATCAGTGTGATCATCCAGAAGGTAAAAGGTAAAAGATTCCAGTAAGGAAAGCCGGGTAATACCAAAGGTAGCCGCAAAATCATCTACAACATTTCTCCATTGCCCATCAGGCAATGTCCAATGTCGATCAAATAAGTAATACAAGAACTGTGCCAAAATTAGGGAAAGTCAAAATGAAAACTGTCGGATAAAGGATATAAACCATCAAGCAACTAAATAATAAATGAGAAAAGGATACGATTGCTTGTTTTGCAACCACCCGATCAGAATTTCCATGTAGAAAGAGTAAGTCGGTAGCAGCTTGCAGATTTTCGAAGGGATAGCACCCTGCCATCCCCTCTATCTTCGACTGGAAAAGTGATGAACCCCCAATCTTCTGCAAAGACGTAATTTCTAACTCGTCTCCTATTTCAGGAGCATATCCATCTTCTATATCCAGATTTGACAATGCTTCTTCAATGAAGAGCATGGAGGCATCTTGTCCAACAGACTCTGCAGGGATATTTGTCAACTTAGGCCATGAACGCATAATTGCCGCAGATTTCCTTTCACGTACAAGTGAACGCCAAGATGTCAAATTAGTGTACCGAGGTTTGATATGTTCAAGAAATTGATGTCTTATACACCAAGTTATCATCTCCATGTGCTGGAAAACAGGAAACAATGTTGGTAAGAGTTTCCTACAACATAGGAAATAGAGGTGTTTATAGACTCTTCAGATCTTTGCAGTAGCTCAATGACTCAATGAAACTTTATATATCAACAAAAATACTCCTACGATATTAGATATTCTCCCCAATAAATATGTGAAACAAATGCAGAGAACAACCCTGTGCTGTTGTTTCATATGACAGATACATGGATACACGAGAAACAAAATGTCGTTAAATGCTGCATGGTCTTTTATGAACATGTTCCTTCTTAATACTATTTGAAGTTTCACATTTCTTCAAACTAGATTGTCAGCTCATCAGGTCTTTCAATGTAGCATAACAGAAAATGACATTGCTACTGTCAAGGTTTTAAAATTTAAATGTATAACATGATCAGACAGATGAAAAAGCATGGGCGAATATTACATATGCACTAACAAGGTTTGTAGTTGTAATAACATGATCAGACAACTGAATAATAATATCAAACAACAAACAATAGGTTGAAGATCAAAGCAACACAAGACCACCTACACTAAAAAATACTCGAATAATCAAGAGATTTAAGAAATTAAACCTGCTTTGTCTTCAAAATGCTCTCATGAAGGTGGTGTAGATCATGAAGCTGTGCTGAAAGTGAACCCTTAAATGATAATTCCAAAACTTCAAGAACGTTAGATATGCCAGCCAGCTTTACTGAAAACTTTATGAGTGTAGTCGACCATTCTTTCATCTCATATACTGTTAGATTATCTATGGGAAATGTCAAGGAGTACAATAAAAACAGAGAGAGCGGGAGAGGAGAATCATCATCGGAATACGCCTTTCAAAGATTAAAGGATACAAATCCTTTGAAGCTCTGTGATAATTTTCTTGAATGTTAGCTTGCACCAATCTTTGACAACAACTTCATCCAGCAAGAAAGCAACAACGGGATCACTTGACACAGCACTTTCATCCATGCAAACATCTGTGACATCTGTTACCTTCTGCTGAGGAAAACAGAACCTCTAGTATCAAGAAATTACTATGTCAATCACATTGATGTTTAACTTTCTATAACAAACGATAAAAAATTTTATACTATCTCATTTTCAAGCTGGTTTTCCAAAAAATCAGAAGAAAAAAGAACATAAAAATTAAAGTTTTCCCTCTACTGGTTGTTAACTGACCACATAGATAAAACATTGTCGGTTGTTGTAGTTTGACCAAATGAAAAAGAAAGGATTTACTATCGAATAAAGGATTTCCCAAATGGAAAATTCTGAAAGGAAAAAAAAAAACAATCTGCCCCACTTTTTGATTGAAAGAAATAATAAGACTGAAGGGATACAGTGGCAAATCAGAGAAACTAAGTTGTTCTCCATGGCAACATCAAACAGATAATAAAGCCGCTGGACATCAGCAGTTAGTTGTTTCTCGCCATCGTCTTTCTCTTGAAATCTGTCATCACATCTTTTGGAGAGAAGACCAGCCTCTATGCACTCATTGTAAAGTCGAAGCCGAAGTCTATTCCCATTTTTCAGTAAAGGAATTCTACAAATCGGGCAAATATCACACCGCTGACTACATTCTTCACACAAGGATGCATGGCCACAAGAGTTCAACACATTCTGTACATAACGTCCACATCTTCTCAAGTCTCTTGTTGCACGACAATGCTCAACTTTTGCTTCATTGCACAAGTCAAGCAGATCAATAGATGCTAAGTGTTCCAACGCTTTCTGTGAATGAAACCAGAAGTTTTATTATGTTAAATTATTGAGTGACTGCCAAACAATGTTAAAAAAAAAGACACTGTTACTAAACATGAAATCTCATTTATCTGAAAATTTTATAGATCCATGTCTAAATAAGAGACCATTGCATGGTAGTTAGCTCATTCATGATCCTAGAAGAGAAGGAGAGACAAACGTCCAATCTTGATTAAAGTAAAGTAGAAAAAAAAATGATGCATGGCTATAGGCAGAGGCTGATTAGCACAACATGATGTTTAACTGCTATGACTATTCAACAGCACGTCAATGACCCATCTCAGATTCTTCTCAAGAACTCCAGTAGTATACACTGGAGTATGGTTATATTTCAATTTTCAAGACACAACCATTGATTTGGGTAACATAATGCCTAATTTGAGATATTCCCACAACCATATTTATACACGGTTCAAACTTCTAAATATTGCATCCATTCACTTCAATTGTGTTGCTTACCTGCAGACTTCTATGACCGCTTAAGGAACTTTTCGGGTAGATGGAAGCAGCAAAAGGCAAAATCTTCACTAGAAACTTCATAAATCAACAAGATCTTCCATGTTGACTAACCATAACTAACCTAGACTACGTTGGTTGAGTAAAAAGACCACTATTTTTTGCTACATGCTTGACCTACATGTCATTATTGTATATGTGAATGCTAGTCAATTGCATTTTCACCCAAATTCAGCTTGTGTTGGGCATATTTATCTGCAATAATTATGATCATCACAGTGAATAGAATTGGTAAGAGTTCAGTTTTAATCAAAAGATTATCTTTTTTAGAACAAAGAATTTTTGATGGATTTCCAGATGCTCAACTCCCCACATGAATCCATTTATACATTAATGGGCTCGAGACCTAAATATGCTAAATATTTTTGCAACAACTTTTTTTTCTTCTGAAAGTAACAATTTTTTATTATTTTGTTTGATTGAAGTTTGCAAACCAAAAACCAATTTAATCAGCGGAAGTAGTCCAAATGAAACAAAAAGAGATATTCTTTGACCCGAAAATGTATAATTTCAACCAAAATATAAAAAAAAAGACACAAAATTGATAAGCTAAAACAGTCCAACTGAAACCAAGCTGAAGCTCTCCTGCGTACATGTGTGCTATAAGTAAGAGCACATATTCAAATGTAAAATTCAACCAACTCGTACAAAACTACTTTCAAAAACTTACTCTACAACCGTACTTCTAACATCAGATATACTCTCAACTTACGCTTCACAATGAAACCCACAGTTATTCACAATGAAACTGAATCTAATAAGCTAAAAATAACTTGGAGAATCAAATTAGGGTACGAATATATATATTTTTGTACTGGACGTATATGAATATTAACAAGTGTACAAAGATACCTGAACTTTTATGCAATTGTAATTTGGTTGAAGAGGCGAAGGAGCAGGCCTTGTAGCGGAATCCGAAGCCACAAAGGCTCCGTCGAATTTCCTTCTCTCCATTCCTCAACACAGTGAGAGGTGGCTGAAGAGATCACACACAAATCGTACAGTAACTCCTAATGGCAATTCCAGATTAGGAATAAGCTAATGGTAAAATTGGTGGTTGTTGAAGCTCGGACAGACTCGTCTCTGTGTGTGCGTGTTAAAGAATAGAGAGAGAGAGAGAGATTTGAAGGGCTGTGGAGAGGTATTTTCTGTTCGTTTTCGTTGGCGTAATTTCTGTTTCTTTTTCTTTTTTTAAATTTGGGGAAACACGAGTCACAATTGGATCCGATCCGACTCCGACACAGTACAGCACCCGGAAACATGAGGTTTGTCCGTTGTACATCGCTTCATTAACATCAATCATTCAATTACAAAACTACAAGTAATTTTATACGTTGATGATTAAATATAATGGTGATATCGTATCACCATTATATTGTATATTTACTCGTTTTCTGGCATACAATGCAACCCAAGGCATGTACGAGGATGTGTTTATGCTTTGGTTTATTTGAACTAAGATTGGACCTCCACTGTGATTAAGGAAACTTAGAGNAAAAAAAAAACAATCTGCCCCACTTTTTGATTGAAAGAAATAATAAGACTGAAGGGATACAGTGGCAAATCAGAGAAACTAAGTTGTTCTCCATGGCAACATCAAACAGATAATAAAGCCGCTGGACATCAGCAGTTAGTTGTTTCTCGCCATCGTCTTTCTCTTGAAATCTGTCATCACATCTTTTGGAGAGAAGACCAGCCTCTATGCACTCATTGTAAAGTCGAAGCCGAAGTCTATTCCCATTTTTCAGTAAAGGAATTCTACAAATCGGGCAAATATCACACCGCTGACTACATTCTTCACACAAGGATGCATGGCCACAAGAGTTCAACACATTCTGTACATAACGTCCACATCTTCTCAAGTCTCTTGTTGCACGACAATGCTCAACTTTTGCTTCATTGCACAAGTCAAGCAGATCAATAGATGCTAAGTGTTCCAACGCTTTCTGTGAATGAAACCAGAAGTTTTATTATGTTAAATTATTGAGTGACTGCCAAACAATGTTAAAAAAAAAGACACTGTTACTAAACATGAAATCTCATTTATCTGAAAATTTTATAGATCCATGTCTAAATAAGAGACCATTGCATGGTAGTTAGCTCATTCATGATCCTAGAAGAGAAGGAGAGACAAACGTCCAATCTTGATTAAAGTAAAGTAGAAAAAAAAATGATGCATGGCTATAGGCAGAGGCTGATTAGCACAACATGATGTTTAACTGCTATGACTATTCAACAGCACGTCAATGACCCATCTCAGATTCTTCTCAAGAACTCCAGTAGTATACACTGGAGTATGGTTATATTTCAATTTTCAAGACACAACCATTGATTTGGGTAACATAATGCCTAATTTGAGATATTCCCACAACCATATTTATACACGGTTCAAACTTCTAAATATTGCATCCATTCACTTCAATTGTGTTGCTTACCTGCAGACTTCTATGACCGCTTAAGGAACTTTTCGGGTAGATGGAAGCAGCAAAAGGCAAAATCTTCACTAGAAACTTCATAAATCAACAAGATCTTCCATGTTGACTAACCATAACTAACCTAGACTACGTTGGTTGAGTAAAAAGACCACTATTTTTTGCTACATGCTTGACCTACATGTCATTATTGTATATGTGAATGCTAGTCAATTGCATTTTCACCCAAATTCAGCTTGTGTTGGGCATATTTATCTGCAATAATTATGATCATCACAGTGAATAGAATTGGTAAGAGTTCAGTTTTAATCAAAAGATTATCTTTTTTAGAACAAAGAATTTTTGATGGATTTCCAGATGCTCAACTCCCCACATGAATCCATTTATACATTAATGGGCTCGAGACCTAAATATGCTAAATATTTTTGCAACAACTTTTTTTTCTTCTGAAAGTAACAATTTTTTATTATTTTGTTTGATTGAAGTTTGCAAACCAAAAACCAATTTAATCAGCGGAAGTAGTCCAAATGAAACAAAAAGAGATATTCTTTGACCCGAAAATGTATAATTTCAACCAAAATATAAAAAAAAAGACACAAAATTGATAAGCTAAAACAGTCCAACTGAAACCAAGCTGAAGCTCTCCTGCGTACATGTGTGCTATAAGTAAGAGCACATATTCAAATGTAAAATTCAACCAACTCGTACAAAACTACTTTCAAAAACTTACTCTACAACCGTACTTCTAACATCAGATATACTCTCAACTTACGCTTCACAATGAAACCCACAGTTATTCACAATGAAACTGAATCTAATAAGCTAAAAATAACTTGGAGAATCAAATTAGGGTACGAATATATATATTTTTGTACTGGACGTATATGAATATTAACAAGTGTACAAAGATACCTGAACTTTTATGCAATTGTAATTTGGTTGAAGAGGCGAAGGAGCAGGCCTTGTAGCGGAATCCGAAGCCACAAAGGCTCCGTCGAATTTCCTTCTCTCCATTCCTCAACACAGTGAGAGGTGGCTGAAGAGATCACACACAAATCGTACAGTAACTCCTAATGGCAATTCCAGATTAGGAATAAGCTAATGGTAAAATTGGTGGTTGTTGAAGCTCGGACAGACTCGTCTCTGTGTGTGCGTGTTAAAGAATAGAGAGAGAGAGAGAGATTTGAAGGGCTGTGGAGAGGTATTTTCTGTTCGTTTTCGTTGGCGTAATTTCTGTTTCTTTTTCTTTTTTTAAATTTGGGGAAACACGAGTCACAATTGGATCCGATCCGACTCCGACACAGTACAGCACCCGGAAACATGAGGTTTGTCCGTTGTACATCGCTTCATTAACATCAATCATTCAATTACAAAACTACAAGTAATTTTATACGTTGATGATTAAATATAATGGTGATATCGTATCACCATTATATTGTATATTTACTCGTTTTCTGGCATACAATGCAACCCAAGGCATGTACGAGGATGTGTTTATGCTTTGGTTTATTTGAACTAAGATTGGACCTCCACTGTGATTAAGGAAACTTAGAGTGCTAAAAGAGTTATTATTTGGTATTGGATCTAAGCTCGAAAGTTAATATAACAAATGTTACCGTTACAACTCAATTTAATAAAATGATTACAATGGAAAATTGTTTGATATTCTTTCTAATATTTAAGATATATTCCAAACTCTTTCTTATAAAAACTTAAATCATTTTGGAGCGCAACTTAAACAAATATTGAGTCATATGCTCATGAGATTAAGTGTAACTTCACATTTTTTTATAATAAATTTCGATATGATATTTAGCCCAGTACAATAATTATAATATTCATAGGATTTGTTTGGTTGTTGTATTAGAAATGGATGAATTAATATAATACGAAAAGAACAAAAGATAAGATTAAATAAAATATTAGAATAATACGTAATTTTATCTAATTTTGGCAATACACAACATAAGCGTTGGACAATAATTATTTAATATAATTGAATGTTTGGTTAAAAAATTATTTCATCGTATTAATGTTGAATTAACAAAAATATCCTCAATCAGTGTTTGTTACACTGATGACAACTTAATTTTATCAGTTAGTGAGTTATAATAGTAAATGTGTAAAATAATACGTTTGAGTTGGATTAAAATACCATATTTTTTGATGGTATTAAAATACCTCCATAATACAAGCATATCGTATAAAAAAATATACGATTAATATATATTTTTAAAATTAATATGGTATCAAATTTACTTACCAAACAAAATATTATATTCGATTAAATAAAAAATAGTACAATTCAATATTTAATCCCCTCATAATATATTTATCAAATGAGCCCATACTGTTTAGTTGAAAGTGATGCTCACTAAATCATATGTGTTATATATATATATAATAAAACACATAACTTAAATTTTTATCTTCTACATATTTTTTTTTTAAAAACATCACATAACTTATTTTTATCACATGTTTAATCATTTAATATTTGATTAATTTGTAGTTTAACATAATTTTTATTTTAAACATTATCTATATACGATAATATACACATGTTAAAAAAATATAAAATAATAGGATCAAATTTTTTGGTACTTGAATTTTATGTTCCTTTGTGTTTTCAGTCATGAGTTATAACTAGTATATATATATATACAAATCTAAGTTGAATGTTGAATGGCAAATTATACGTTCTCTTCATTGGAATAATTCCATAAAACTTTAGTGTTCATAANTCAACCAACTCGTACAAAACTACTTTCAAAAACTTACTCTACAACCGTACTTCTAAAATCAGATATACTCTCAACTTACGCTTCACAATGAAACCCACAGTTATTCACAATGAAACTGAATCCANTCAACCAACTCGTACAAAACTACTTTCAAAAACTTACTCTACAACCGTACTTCTAACATCAGATATACTCTCAACTTACGCTTCACAATGAAACCCACAGTTATTCACAATGAAACTGAATCTAATAAGCTAAAAATAACTTGGAGAATCAAATTAGGGTACGAATATATATATTTTTGTACTGGACGTATATGAATATTAACAAGTGTACAAAGATACCTGAACTTTTATGCAATTGTAATTTGGTTGAAGAGGCGAAGGAGCAGGCCTTGTAGCGGAATCCGAAGCCACAAAGGCTCCGTCGAATTTCCTTCTCTCCATTCCTCAACACAGTGAGAGGTGGCTGAAGAGATCACACACAAATCGTACAGTAACTCCTAATGGCAATTCCAGATTAGGAATAAGCTAATGGTAAAATTGGTGGTTGTTGAAGCTCGGACAGACTCGTCTCTGTGTGTGCGTGTTAAAGAATAGAGAGAGAGAGAGAGATTTGAAGGGCTGTGGAGAGGTATTTTCTGTTCGTTTTCGTTGGCGTAATTTCTGTTTCTTTTTCTTTTTTTAAATTTGGGGAAACACGAGTCACAATTGGATCCGATCCGACTCCGACACAGTACAGCACCCGGAAACATGAGGTTTGTCCGTTGTACATCGCTTCATTAACATCAATCATTCAATTACAAAACTACAAGTAATTTTATACGTTGATGATTAAATATAATGGTGATATCGTATCACCATTATATTGTATATTTACTCGTTTTCTGGCATACAATGCAACCCAAGGCATGTACGAGGATGTGTTTATGCTTTGGTTTATTTGAACTAAGATTGGACCTCCACTGTGATTAAGGAAACTTAGAGTGCTAAAAGAGTTATTATTTGGTATTGGATCTAAGCTCGAAAGTTAATATAACAAATGTTACCGTTACAACTCAATTTAATAAAATGATTACAATGGAAAATTGTTTGATATTCTTTCTAATATTTAAGATATATTCCAAACTCTTTCTTATAAAAACTTAAATCATTTTGGAGCGCAACTTAAACAAATATTGAGTCATATGCTCATGAGATTAAGTGTAACTTCACATTTTTTTATAATAAATTTCGATATGATATTTAGCCCAGTACAATAATTATAATATTCATAGGATTTGTTTGGTTGTTGTATTAGAAATGGATGAATTAATATAATACGAAAAGAACAAAAGATAAGATTAAATAAAATATTAGAATAATACGTAATTTTATCTAATTTTGGCAATACACAACATAAGCGTTGGACAATAATTATTTAATATAATTGAATGTTTGGTTAAAAAATTATTTCATCGTATTAATGTTGAATTAACAAAAATATCCTCAATCAGTGTTTGTTACACTGATGACAACTTAATTTTATCAGTTAGTGAGTTATAATAGTAAATGTGTAAAATAATACGTTTGAGTTGGATTAAAATACCATATTTTTTGATGGTATTAAAATACCTCCATAATACAAGCATATCGTATAAAAAAATATACGATTAATATATATTTTTAAAATTAATATGGTATCAAATTTACTTACCAAACAAAATATTATATTCGATTAAATAAAAAATAGTACAATTCAATATTTAATCCCCTCATAATATATTTATCAAATGAGCCCATACTGTTTAGTTGAAAGTGATGCTCACTAAATCATATGTGTTATATATATATATAATAAAACACATAACTTAAATTTTTATCTTCTACATATTTTTTTTTTAAAAACATCACATAACTTATTTTTATCACATGTTTAATCATTTAATATTTGATTAATTTGTAGTTTAACATAATTTTTATTTTAAACATTATCTATATACGATAATATACACATGTTAAAAAAATATAAAATAATAGGATCAAATTTTTTGGTACTTGAATTTTATGTTCCTTTGTGTTTTCAGTCATGAGTTATAACTAGTATATATATATATACAAATCTAAGTTGAATGTTGAATGGCAAATTATACGTTCTCTTCATTGGAATAATTCCATAAAACTTTAGTGTTCATAATTTGATGTTCTTTCTTACGTTGCTTTAATGTATTAGCCTTTTTCTGCCATATAACGTTTAGTTAGTAATTTTTTGGGTTAATTGCAACTGCGATCTCTAAAGTATTTTTTTTGTTTCGTNTAATAAGCTAAAAATAACTTGGAGAATCAAATTAGGGTACGAATATATATATTTTTGTACTGGACGTATATGAATATTAACAAGTGTACAAAGATACCTGAACTTTTATGCAATTGTAATTTGGTTGAAGAGGCGAAGGAGCAGGCCTTGTAGCGGAATCCGAAGCCACAAAGGCTCCGTCGAATTTCCTTCTCTCCATTCCTCAACACAGTGAGAGGTGGCTGAAGAGATCACACACAAATCGTACAGTAACTCCTAATGGCAATTCCAGATTAGGAATAAGCTAATGGTAAAATTGGTGGTTGTTGAAGCTCGGACAGACTCGTCTCTGTGTGTGCGTGTTAAAGAATAGAGAGAGAGAGAGAGAGAGATTTGAAGGGCTATGGAGAGGTATTTTCTGTTCGTTTTCGTTGGCGTAATTTCTGTTTCTTTTTCTTTTTTTAAATTTGGCGAAACACGAGTCACAATTGGATCCGATCCGAGTCCGACAGTACAGCACCCGGAAACATGAGGTTTGTCCGTTGTACATCGCTTCATTAACCTCAATCATTCAATTACAAAACTACAAGTAATTTTATACATTGATGATTAAATATAATGGAGATATCGTATCACCATTATATTGAATATTTACTCATTTTCTGGCATACAATGCAACCCAAGACATGTACGAGGATGTGTTTATGCTTTGGTTTATTTGAACTAAGATTGGACCTCCACTGTGATTAAGGAAACTTATAGTGCTAAAAGAGTTATTATTTGGTATTGGATCTAAGCTCGAAAGTTAATATAACAAATGTTACCGTTACAACTCAATTTAATAAAATGATTACAATGGAAAATTGTTTGATATTCTTTCTAATATTTAAGATATATT